TTTATCTTTTCTAATATGATGGGTTTTTTTAAATCATAAAATTATTTTAGCTTCTCAGTCTTGACCCTATAAAAGTAAATCAATATTTGAATGATATAAGATAGTTTTTAAATATTCTAATGTCCTGAATTGATATTTGTTTCATAATGTTCACCTTATTTCTTTAACTGTATATTGAGTTCATTCACAGCAGACTGGTTTTCCTTTTGCATCCCTGTTTTTGACTAATAGTGCTAAGTCTTACTAATAACAGTACTAAGTACTGAATCTTTTCATAGCTCCACGTCTGAGATATCTCATTTTACCAATGACGTTCAGAGAAATAATTTGCCTGAAGTCATAGGCAAGGATTATTTTAGAAATCATGATACTTCACCCCTAAATATTTCAGTGTGAGCCTCCTAAAAATAGGACTTTTACATAGCCATTATCACACATAAGAAAATTAATATTTCCCTAATTTCACCTAATTTTCAGTCTGTATTAAAATGCTCCCAATATCCCATAAATATTTTTTGTATCTTTTTTTCCCCCCTAAACTAAGATCTCATCAAGATTCATATGTTACATGGGGTTGTCTGTCTCTTTTTTTTTTTTTTTTTAATCTAAAACAGTCCCTCTACCGTTCTGGGGGATTATAAATGGGTGAGCTTTCTAATCTGATCATTCCTTCTACATTGATTAGCTAGCTTGTTTTTGGCAGGAGTGGGAGTGGGGGGGGGTAAAGAAAAACTTTCTTTCAACTGGGTGCTAAATAATTTAATATGTAAACTAATGGATAGATGGATTTAAGAGTTAATCACAGAAGCAGTACTTACATAAATCCTACATCTAAAGTGAAAGCTATGTTGTTGAAAGAAAACAAAACCTCCAAGAAAAACAAAAGGCTATATAAGACAGAAAATGTAATGATGCCCAGCTTTGCAATAAACAATATTTATATAGTCATGATGTAAACACTGCTCGTTTTTAGCCTTTAGATTCAGTCATCAACCTTGACAGCTTAATTATAGTTAGACCATGACTATAATAGTTAATCAACTTTGATGGGAGAGTTCAGAAGGTGGAAGGTGTAAAGAGGGTTAACTGAAGGGAAGGTAGAAGTCCTAATATCAAGGATTGTCTCTAGTTGATGAAATAAGGGGATACAGGTATTAATTAAAGTTATAAAGAGGTTACGAAGAGGAACTAAAAGTAGTGATGTAACTACTGTAATTTGGGGGAAGGAGAATGGGCTAACATCCTTGTCTGTTACAGTAGGAAGTCAACAGATTGCCTAAAATTTGATATATTAAGAAATGACGTATGATCTACAGAAAAAAAAAAGGTAATTTCCTACAACAAATAAAAACAGAAACAGTTTAAAGGTGGTTGCTGGGGCATGGGGGTGCGCGGCTTGGATAGACAGAAGATGCCCTCCTGAGTGCTTTTGTGTATTTTAATTTTTTAACTACATGCAAGTATTTGATAGAACTTTAAAGGTTTATCTTTATTCTTTTAAAAAAGTAAATAAAATAAAAACTTGGGTTACATTTTCAAGTGGTTTTTCTTTTTCCCCCTGACACCCTGTTCTCGCTTCTTATAATTATGCCTGGTTTCATCCTGTATTTACAGTCTAGTTATGCCAGTTATCTGTAGTTAAGAGACAGTATGCATTTGCGTGACATCAGTTAAATGGAAAAACTGTCTAACTGTTGCTCTCCTTCCTGATTGACTTAAGGACCATCTAAATTCATCCCAAGTTTTATTAAATTAAATATATTGGAAAACTGAGGGCTATCTGAATGAATTAACAGTGATCTGTATACTTAAGTATCTTAAGACAAAAATGGCATATTCAGGGGTTTGTTTTTGCTTTATTTAAGGTATAATTTAAATGCAGTAAATTCATTAAGTGTACAGTTACGGGATTTTGGTAATTGTATAGTCATATAACCTTCACTCCCATCAAGATACAGAATATTTCCATCACCTTGAAAACTTCACTTTTGCTACTTGCCCTCGATTTCCAGCCCTTGACCCCCAGTCGATGGCAAGTACCAGTCTGCTTTCTGTTACTATGATTTTGCCTTTCCTAGAATTTCATACAAATTGAATCATAGAGCATATATATAGTCTTCTATATTTGACTCCTTTCACTCAGCATGTCTTGGAGATTTATTTGTTGTGTGTATTGATGTTTTATTTTTGTTGCTGAGCACTGTTCCATTGTGTAGATATACAACAGCGATTGTCAGCTCACCAGCTGACCGATTCTTGATTGACCAATTCATTTATGAACGATGCTGTGTGAATATTTGCATACAAGTCTTTGTGGACATGTTTTCATTTCTCTTTGCTAAAATACCTAAAAATAGGATTGTTAGGTGATATGGTAAGTGTATGTTTAGCTTAATAAGAAATTGTCAAATTTTTCCAAAGTAGCTGTACCATTTTATATTCCCATCAGCAGTGTATAAGTTTCAGTTGCTTCATATCCTCACCAATACTTGATTGTATTAGTCTTTAATTTTAGCCATTCTAGTTATTTTGTACTATCCAGTAGTAGTATCTCGTTGTAGTTTTAATCTGTGTTTCCGTAATAACCAATTAAACATCTTTTAATGTGCTTATTGGTCATGTGTGTGTGTGTGTGTGTGTGTGTGTGTGTGTGTATCTATTCAGATATTTTGCACATTTTCTTATCTGATTGTTAGTCTTTTTTTGTTACTGTTGTTGTACAAATTATATAATCATGGATACAAGTCCTTTTTCAGATAAATGTTTTGCAAATATTTTCTCCCAGTCTGTGGCTTGTCTTTTCATTTTTTTAACTGTGTCTTTCGAAGAGCAAAAGTTTTTAATTTTATTAAGTTTATTTTATAAATTTTTCTTATATAGATTGTACTATTTGTGTCCTGTTTGAAAAAATCTTGCCTAAGATAATAAGATTTTCTCATATATTTTTTCCTATACATTTAGTTGTTTTGGCCCTTAAGTTTAGGCCCATTTTTATTTTCGAGTAAATCTTTACATAGTGTGTCTTGTAAGGAAAGGAGAATAATATGGTTGGTAGGCAGAAAATAAACTGAATTACACAAAAACCTATACTGGCCTCAGTTCCCATCTCAACTCCACCCCCCACCTCCACTGCACTTTAAGAACAAAGAGTAAATCACAAAAAACATTCCAAGTCCAAGTGTTAGTTTTTAACATTTACAGTACTAGGACTCATACAATTTAATTCTTTATCCATTTGCTACCATTAGCTTTCTGATATTAGAAAAATTTACATTCTAAATTTTAGCTTTGGCACTCTATACTAAGAATATAGTTATGTTTGTGGATTTGAGAGAATGTGTTCTTAACAGCTTTTATTAACGGAAACACTTTTAACATTATAAGGTGGTTATTTACTATATCATAAAGCACCTTTACAAAATTTATTAGCACCCATATTAAAGAACAACTTCCAATAAGGGCTTTTATTACTCCTATCATTAGATAGGAGAATTGAATTTCTACCTTTAAGTGGGATTTGCATGTACATATTAAAGCAATACAGTGATATATTTGGATATTAGTAGGCTATTTGGCAAAGTCCCTCATAAGAGATCTTGAAGAGCAGAGCGAGAAATGTGGGCTGAATAATAAAATTAGACTGATTTGTAATTTAACCTAATAAACACAGACTGAATTCTTGTCGTGTAGAAGGATATGGCATTCTGTCCTTTTTAAATTAAATTTAATTTTTTTTTAATCAAGTGATCAGCAATGAGTATTCTCTTCATTTCAGGTCAGTCCTGAAAGATGACTGCCATCATTTCACTGTCCTTTTTTTTTTAAATCAGTGATTGGAATGCAGACAGATAGCATGGGTTTTTTTGTTTGTTTTGTTTTTTTCAAAGGTTTTATTGGGGAATTAGGGGAGGGGAACAGCACTGGGGAATCGGGGTAGGGGGAGAGCCAAGTTGCTGTCCTTTTGTTCTTCAGTCTAGTTGTGGAGGACGTCGTTTTGCTGGTCCATGTTGGTATTATCATTGCACTCTTCCCGGCTGAGGCAGATCGGTCGTCGACCACTGGATGGCCGCTCACGATGGCTCTTGGCAGTTCACGCCGGCTGCCAGCTGCTCACAGTGGCTTACGGCAGCCCACTGCAGCCTCACTGCAGCCTACGCCGTTGTAGCGTACTGCCAGCAACTCATGGCAGCCCAGCTCCAGGTCCAGCTGTTGTTCACCATCTTAGCTGTAGAGGGCGGTGTCACTGGCCCATGTGGGATCCGAATCCGCGGCCCTGCTGCTCAGAGCTCGAGCTCCCAAGCCAATTCTTAACCAACGAGCCACTTGGCTAGCCCTGTTTTGTTTGTTTTTTTAATCACAGATGATATGAACCTGGGACCTGATAAATTGGATGACATTCATTTAGAAAACAAAATGATCTTGATGAGTTAAAACAGGATATCTCATTAACAAGATAACTCTTAATAAAATATAAATGTAAACTCTCTTCCTTCTCCGCCAAAAAGAAAATTTAACAGACCATAAAAAACAGGTTCCAAAGTACATCTAATGACATAGATTATTCCCATTATATTTCCAAAAAGCAAGATTCAGAATTATATTCATAATGGATTTCTCCATTTTGTGTTAAAATATATATATTAGAAAGTACAAAATATTGACAGTGTAGTTCTAGATGGTATAATTAGGAGTAGTTTTCATTTTGCCTTTCTGTTTATTTCCAAATTTCCCACACTGAGCATGTATGTATCTTCAATAAGACACGACACACTGAAGATAAAAAAGTGTTTAATTTTTTTGATGGTCCAAATGTGCAGTCAGGACATGTTCATTTATATTGTCACAATAAAGGTTTCCTCCCTCCTGTATTTGTCTGTAATAGTCAATATGGTACAAACGCAAGCATCAGCTGTCGTATTCTGACTCAGCGTGTTAATGTTTTCTGACTCCACTACTATGAACCCACTGAATCTGTTTTCACTTTTTTCTCTTTATCAAAGGTTGAATTAATAAAGGGGAATTTACAAAGTGTCGGACTTACACTTCGTCTTGTCCAGTCAACCGACGGGTATGCTGGCCACGTCATTATTGAAACTGTGGCCCCAAACTCGCCTGCTGCAATTGCAGATCTTCAGCGGGGAGATAGACTGATTGCTATTGGAGGTAATTATGCTAATATGCTAATTATGCTAATATGGTAATATACTTTACATTTACAGTCGATATGGGAGTTTTCCTCTCTTCCTTCTTTATTTTTATAAGCACAATGTTACTTTTACAACAGAAAGAAATAACTTTATTATAAATAAAAATCTGAAGGAAGCCTTAAAAATTAATTTAAAATACATATGCCATTTTAGTCCAAATGTATAAATCTTTAGAAACTATAGATCACTTTTCTATAACCTTTCTGATTTTCCCTTTCTTCCACCTTCTGATCCTCTATTTTTTATTGAATGTGAAAAAGGGGAAAGTCAACACTTGTCTTTCTGTATGGTCACCATTTCTACTCTGAGCCTAAAATTGATAGTATTAACCTATCTACTGCCATCACTTAGGACAAGATAACAAACAGGAGAGAGACTAATATTCCTTGTCTAAGAGGGTACATCTGAACTGTCCTGTGGTCCCATACTGGTGGCCCCATATTGTCCTTGATTGGCCAGCCATTTGTTAATATGCAGTCTCATTCTGAGTGCAGCCCCAATCACTGTTGCTGGCAGAAAAATGTGTCACCTGTGTGTCTTCCTATCAATTGGATTGGTAACAACAAAATCTCTGTTGATAGGAAGATTATTTGCTTGGATGTTTATGAATAAGCAGTAGGACTCACTGTGGGAAAAAGCACAAACCTTTTCAGACCTTGGTGGTACCTGTCCCACCCATTCTAGACTTAAGGGATTTCTTGATACATGCTTGGTCATAGGTGAGCTTTTAATGACAAGGTGGTATATTCTGTCCAGCTAAGACAATAACAAGATAAACCAGTTCCTAAATCAAGGAGCAGTTATCCTTAGTTACACGTCACAGAAACCCTGCCTTTGTTTCAAATCTATCATGACAATAAAATCATGAAAATTATTTAGTCACACACCTAGAAGTCC